GTGCTAAGATCAAATTAAAATTTATATTTTATTAAAATTAGGAGATCAACATTTGTTTTACATTAAAAGCAGAAAACATCTTTATATATATAATCTCATAACATTTAATTTATTTTCAACATCTAAATAATATTGAGCACAAATGAAATACAATATGTAATCTTCATGGAGAAGTTCCATTATAGGCAATGGTACAAGATTATTGAAAAAGAAAAACAAAGTAGAATGAGAAGGTAACTGCATTTTTGCTAACTATACGCATTTTTTAAATGATTACTTCAATATTTTTTAATTTATATTAAATGATATTTTCTTTTGTTTTTTCTTTAATTTTTCGCTCTTTTAACTAAAACATATTTTTATATCACCAAATGGTAGTCTAATATTAAACATATTAAAAATTATTCTTTACTATCATTTAAATTTTATTATAGCAAAAACCGTTTGAAAATTCGAATTATGATGTTAAAACCTAAAACTATATTCATAATCAAATACAAATTAAACATATTGATAAACGATAGAGAGTTATTGACGCAGATTAATTTTACGAATATTACATACATAAGAAAGTTAGCCAACTTAATTCATATTTCACAATCTTAAATAAAGTTACAACATGATTTGTGTTCCTTCACCATAATTGCATCTTCTTAGAGGAAGCTATATGAATTCCTAATTTGAAAAGCCTTGAGGAGCAAAGAATCCATGGGAGATAAACTTTGACCAAGAAGACTCGTTGACCATGAAGAGATGGAAGGGACCATGTTCAAGTTCGTATCAATAAGACCGGTACTACTAGTGTTGTCCGCTAAGTAAATACCGTTCTGCGACTGAATATGACCGAAATGATTGTTATCTATGAAATTTGCGGATGAAATATTAGGCGGAAACTCGATATCTCCAAACTCATTATTGGCCATTGATGAGTTTGCTTCGCATGGAGATTCAAAAGATGGTTGAGAAGATTGTGGTTGCTCTTGTGGTTTTTTCGCTGCTACATTTTTCTTGAAAATTCTACAGACCACCCATTCCTCCTGAAATTAAATGCATATGTCATCAACTAATATAACCAAAAAACTGTATCCCAAAAAAAAAAGAACTACCATAACCAATGGAGTTAACCAAAAACACGGCTTTAAATTTAGTTTTTGTAGTTGTAAGTACTTTTCT